GGCTGGAGTTCGCAGTTAATGTCTAAACCGGGTTAAAGCAGCTCTCAGCTCGGCTTTGACCCGGCACAGGGCCGGGGGTGGAGGGGTGAGCCCGCGGTCAGCCTGTCTAAGATGAAAAAGTGAAACGACCCCAGAAAGAAAAGCCACAACTGAATGGCTTCATGTCAAACTCGGGATGAGAGGAAAATTTATTTATGCGATCTTCTAAAAGGCAATAGGCTGTTTATACGGATAAGTGCTTATGTTACTGCTGCTTGTGGTTATATCATCTGCAGACCCGAGTGTTGGATTCAGATCTGCAAAGACAGCCTGGTGAAAAATTACGTAGTCGGAGTATCACATGAACACCAAGTCTGCAGCGAGAGTATCCAAGACGATCATCTTGGACTGAATTAAATCTACAACCGGAGTGAAGAGGGACATTAAAGACGTCTAATTATACTACCAGATTTACAGCGTTAATCAATAATCAACCTACAATGGAAAAACGATACGAGAAGGTTGATTAAACCGCTGCCAAAGTAGCAATAAGTCATACATGTGGTAGAGAATCCCTTTTTAGATCAGTGGATTATATTCAAATAACGGTCACGCACGCATCCTCCCACTTTAACCCCTAATATTGGAGGAGACTATCCAACGAGCGAGCGAGAGAGAGAGAAAGAGAGGGAGAGAGGGAGGGAGAAACCCACGGAACAATAGGCTCGCGACTCCCGCAGGCCGCGTGAACTCTGCGTGGTCCCCACCTCGAGCCCCTGCGTTGGCCTGTCCAGCGCGGGGACTAATGAAACGGTGAACCAGCGGTCAACGATTCTGATTGACCCTCTGGCGACCTGACGGCAGCTAGGCTACATTCTTAAAGAAGAATGCTCTTTGAGAAACCGAAGCATCGCTCCGTTGTTGTTGTCTGTAAAAGAAATCCACCAAAGTTCAGAGCTAGGGAACACCATTCAAAGGTGTAAGCTAATGACGCCAGTGTCCGAGGGCAAGAATAATTGTGAAAAATGAAAGTCAAAAAACAAAACAAAAAACTCAGGATTAATAGTTCAACGTGAATGAACTCTCTTTTTTTGACCATTTGTATTTTCCACATCAGCAGAAAGGTGCCCTAAACTCTGCAGTTTCATTTTTCACCCAAAATCAATCAGAATTGTTATGGATCAGTGTTTGCTTCGCTCTTTTATTTTTGTTTAGCTTTCCCACTGTTTAACGTGAAACCAATCATGCTCTACATAAAGTTTTGCTGTTCTTCTCACTCCATGCAACGCGAGCTTTTTGCTTTCGCAACAAATGGTTCTGACCGGAGTTGTCATCAAGCACTCATTCAACCAGCCATGGGAATTTAGAACATGTAAACACAAGGAATGAGCGTCTGCCAGAGCACAGAAAATCGCCTAGGGGAAGAAATGGAAACAGAAACTCTATGTGGCATCTTGACCAAATTTGCAATACAACTCGAAAAACAATGCAGACGTCAGCAATATTCATAATGATACATTACTGTATAAAGAGGTGAAGTGTGTGGGAATGGAAAAAAAAAAGGCGTGGATAATGTTGCCCTCAGTGGAGCATGAGCATTGACACGTGAGACAAATCAATACATATGTAACACATACATCTTACCCAAAATTTAATATACAAGCAAAAAGAGTCAACATGATGACTAATGCTGTCAATTGCAAGTGCACAACTTGAATTCAAATACAGTTGGGTATAAACTGTGGTGCCTTCACTGGCAGCTGACGGCAGATGTTCAGCTGTAAACATTTAGAGGCGCTGTGGACCACCATAAATGTATTTCAGCAGGAACTAATGAGAAATTTAGATTCAGTTTCAGGGCCAAGTTCTCTGCAATTTTCAGTTCAGTCCAATAAATCTGAGGTCGAGGCCAAGTTTGGAAATTACCCCCAGCCACTATTTTAATGTGGATTAGTTTCACTGCAGCTGGTAGTTTGTTTACCAGCAAACTTGGCAGGAGACCAACTGCAATTTGGCAGTTACACTACAATCAAAGCTTGGCCGGCTAAATTATGAAAGACATGCAACTTTTAATTGCTGGTGGGCAACAGCACAGATCGCCTCCTCCTTGATTTCTAATGTTTAACGTAAAGAAATGTGGCATACTTGTTTAACAAAGTGAGGTCATCAGTAACAAACTTCTCTACTGTAACAAAGTCTTTCTGATAAGCTAGCTTTTACCTCAGAAAGCCAAAATAGTATGCCTCAGTAAAGACATGGAAGAGAAAGCGGGGTCAGACTCACAGTCGCACTTGCAGAACTTCAATGAATTGTGTTCAAACGATAAAATTGATATCAGAGTAACTCCGACACTTTGTATAATAATTAACAAATGAGAATGTGGCTAGGCATCTGGGCTAGGACAAGGTGACCATCTCAGTTTCACATTAACTATACTCTGCTGCAGTTATCTTATGGGCAACTGTTTGCCCTCTTTCCAGTGGAAGGTGAGCTATTTTTCATGCAGCAAGACCAATTTCATAAACCTGAAATTCACCTTGTGCGAATTATTGCTGACCTGCCTAGAATTTATGGTTTCCTGTTAAACTGTAGAGCCAATTTAGAAGTAATTAACTTCAAGGACATTTACCAATATTAGGTAGGACAAAATGAAACATTTTGCAGCATATCTTTAAAATGTACACATTAAAATGATATACGAATAATTAGAAGACACTGCCTTGCAGTTTTCAAGAAAATATCATAAACTAATCCAGTTCCAGATAACCTTCTGGATCCAGGGAATCAATTCATGCCTATGTGGAGAGCATTATGATTATTTAACCCGAGGAGAAGTCTGAAGTCTCAGGATGTTCTTGTTGAGCTTGCTAGTCTTCTGGATGATGGCCTCACCAGTTTACAGTAATTGCACACATGTATCAGAATTAATGTGTTATGCCTTATAACAAATTATTGATGTCAGAAGGTACATGCTGAAGCACCATTAATGGTTTCAATAAATTATACAATGACACTTAACAACAGGTACACGCACATCTTTACAAAGAAGGGACTAGCTGAATAGTGATTTTGGGCATTGTAATTACTCTTACGCAGAGCATTAGTCAACACAATGGCCTCTATGAAAAAAGTCAGAATGAGGGCACAGGAGTGTAAATCTCTGTCAACAACAAAAAGAAGTCATCAGCAGCCAGCCATGAAGTGAACCTTCGCCTATATATACCCTGTAGAACCGAATGTGTGTGGAGCTGCCTCAGTCACAGATTGGGTTCTTGGGGAGTCTATGGGCGATGACTAACCATCCATCAAAATCCACGACAGGGGAGGAAAAAGGGATGACTCTTTACTGTGCTCTAGCTTTGCTAAAGGAACATGTCCTTCTTCAGCCCTACAGTTCCACACTTTCATAGATTAGAAGGATTGTTTGACATTTGTGCGGTGTCAAGCACAGAAAAGTGTCCGTGAAGTGATGCTGTGCTTTGCTGCATACAAATGGATTGGCAAATCGGGCAGGATGGTTTGCTCATACTGAGTTTCACGGCATGAATTGTGATCATGCCGCTGGATCTAATTTCCTGCATGGTAGCGTAAAGGTTTGCTCAGTGACAAATCATAAAATCAATATTAAGTGCAGCATCTCAACAAGAACCACAGCACAGTATCTTGTTCTGGGGTGTAGAGCTGATAAAGCCCTGGCTTATGAAAAAAAATGCAACTCTGTTTGCTGCCCTGAGTACACCACCTCTGCAGACCATTCACAAATGTAGTAAATCTGTAACTCTTCAGTGAAAATCTGTTCACACCTTCCCTTTATCTCAGCTGGAACAAAAACTGTCTGATAGAAACTGAAGCTACAAACGCTTCGGCTGAAAAATATCCATTGTAACGACAATGGAAGAGCTGCCTATTTAAATGGCACTAGACCATGACACAGAAAAAAATATTCTGACACTCTATTACCTATTTGGTTGCTTATCAGTCACTCTTTAAGGGCTGCTTTGTCTAAATGACTCATTAGATCAGAGCCATTAAGCCCAAAGATGCATGAGTCCAGTTGTATTTTGTCAGCCATGGCAAAGACTTCAAACGCATTACATCCTCCATAGGAACTCTTTAATGCTTTTTACAGGAGTATTATAGGAAGGGGTAAAAGTAGTTCATGTAGTAAAACTGGGGTTTTAGCTGCGCATCAGTCTTGCCAAATCCTCGGAGAGCAGCTGCAGCCAAAGAAATCCTCGTGAAATCTTGAAGGATTTCATACGGATTAATGGTCGATTGCTGGGTGTAAAGATGATCTATCAAGACCTTGACATTTGCGATTTACCATTTTTAAAGGGATCACTTTAGCAAAAGAGCAAAATTCCTTGCGCAATGACGCTCATTATGTCTCTCTTTCTTCGTGTGAGGGCACACATTTAGCATATTCCCACTTATCTCTTTCACCCTTTTTCCCACTAATTTTGCATTAAGCTTCATTTTTTAAGCCGTCGCATTTTTGTCTCGTTCGGCTTGATTTAGCATCATTTTTTTTTTTAAAGCAATGCATTTTTCTCCCCCTCCTTTAAAAGCCGTGCTGGTGAGCGGGACACCTCGGCCTGACCTCGGCCGAACAAAGCCAACTACTAGTCACTGTCTGGGAACCTTTTATCCCATTCTTTTATTTGAGGCCTTTCTGACCGGCCACGTTTTGTTGTCCGTCCTTTGACTGGCCACAAGGCCAAATATGGCCCCGCCGTCCCTCAATATGGGCCAGATTAATTTTTCAGTTTCGGCCATCTGTGGGGGTAAAAGTCAGTCAGCTAAAAGTCATAAATCTACAGTCAGTGCGTCTTCAATAGGGGCTGTGTGGCAGAGGGTGATAGATAGATAGATAGATAGATAGATAGATAGATAGATAGATAGATAGATAGATAGATAGATAGATAGATAGATAGATAGATAGATAGAT